AAAAGCAGACAAACACTAGTAATAATCACTAAAAAAAATTACCTGCATGGCCACTAGGGCCTGTGTCGTAGTCATAAGTCCATCCGAGACCATTTGAAGGGTTAGACCATCTTGTTGGAATACTAGGCTGAGTTGTTTGAGTTCCTGAAGAACATCCAGCAGAAGATTAATGAAGAGGAGCATGCTGTACCTTTTAAGTGACTGCATTACTATTTTCGCCCTCCCCTTCATGACTGCACTCGCTTCACGATCATTAGGGTCACTTGCATGATTCTCAAAATGCACAAGGATGGCCTGGTAATTCCTCATTAGTGCATCTAGTGCATGCGACAAGTGTGGAAGCCACCGGGTCCCCTCAATGTTGCCGGGTCTCATGAGGTCAACCTCCAATGCCCTGCTGATCTCCTGTAGCTCCCTGGTTGCTTTGGCAGAGCAGGTATAGTGTTTGTGAATGGTGCGGAGGGTGTGCTTTATTTCCTGGAGTTGTGAGACCGACTTCATGCAGTCCAGTGCAGCAAGCTCCAGCCGATGAGCCACACACCAGACCGGGACAAGAGATGGACATATTTTTTGGAGTTTTGCTGTCACTCCATTATTTACCCCAAGAATGACAGCTGCGCCATCGCAGCCAAATCCCACCAGGCGGTGTTTTAGGTCCTCCTCTTCCACACCACATGCTGCCAGTCCATGCAAAACAGCATCAAGGATACCCTGACTATTGGCACGCTCTAACTCTATAATGTGAACAAATGTATTCACTGGCTTGCCATCTTCCACAAATGTGCAATAAATTAGCTCTTGGTCTTTGACAGACCTGTCCACAGATGAATCAGACATTATGGAAAAAAATCTGACAGATCGGAGCTTGCGTTGGAGCTCCTCAGTAAATACGGAAGCAATATAGAAAATGAACTGACGACATGCCTGATCATTGGTGTATGTGTTCCCAAGATTCAGCCCGTTTGTGTGAAGGAGTGTAATCAACTTGGGAAAAAGAGTAAATGGTAGCTCCTCTTTGGCAACAAAATAAGCTGTATTAAAAAGTTTTAACATCTTCTCTTTTACAGTCTCGTCAATTCTTTCAAAGGCTAGCACCAAAGAACCAGTTTTGGGGTTTTGTCGTGCGTGAAGAGCATCCTCTGCAAGTTTGTGAGCACTGGTGGCAGCGTGATCTTTAATGGAACGAACTCTAATTTTGTCCCCGGTTACCCCATGAAAAAGGGTATTTCCTGCTGCTTGGACAGGACATGCTCTACAAGTCTTACAGAACATCATTTGTCCTGGTTCATCATACTCAATGAACTTGTAGGCTTCTTTCCATTCTGAAAGAAATTTTCTTTTGCGGGTTGCTTCATATCCACCTTGTTTCTGTAAAGAAAACAAAAAGAAATTACTAATTATTGAATGATATTTAGTGACTATTGATATTCACAGATTATTTATTGATTTATGTAAAAAAGGGTTTATAAGACGTCATACACCTCATAACAGTTGTAAAGGCCAGGTTATAAGTAGGGCTGTCAAACGATTAAAATTTTTAATCAAGTTAATTACAGCTGAAAAATTAATTAATCCTAATTAATCGCATTTTAAGCTATCGGCTAAGTTATGCCATATTTTTCTGTGAATGGTTGTTTGAATGGAAAGATAAATGACTCTATAGTGTACATATGTACTGTATTTGTTTACAATAACAATAAATCCAAACAAAACAGCTTTAACATTACTCACATTCTGTCTTTCTGCAGTAGACAGTTTTTTTTCTAAGTTGTATTAAAAGCTGTATTAAAACCCGTAATTTAGTTGAAACAATTTGCTCATTGATTCAGCTGTGTATGAATAAAGGCCATAAAAAGTGCTGGGTAGAAACATTGCTTGACGCTAGCTCTCCTAGGCCACGCCCCCTCTAGCGTCTGCAGAGCATGTAAACACACCAGCAGCATGGCAGGAGAAGGAGGCTATACTTCCTCTGGCTGTAACTGTAAACACAGCAGAACAGCCCAAAAGACGCTAAAGTTATGAGGACAAAAGGAAAGAATGGGAGAGACCTGCGCTGCCTCGGACTGTCTACACGCGGACTCTCTATGCTCGGACTATCTACGCTCGGACTACATTTGGACGGGAAACAAGCGGTAATCTTTCAGTTATTGTACGGTATATTTGTTAGCAGTGCGTTGCTTTTGTACCATTTCATCAGTGATTGTTGTACAGCTTATAAGAAGTTGTAATGTTTGCTTGTCAGATCATGGCTCCGTGAGAGGAGAGCGTAGGAGAGAGGACGGTCTCTGGTGTCTGTGAGCGTCACCTTTGAGTGTTATTATGGGATGCGTTAATTTTTTTAACGCGATTAATGAAAATAATTAATTAACGTGCGTTAACGCGATAATTTTGACAGCCCTAGTTATAAGACAAGTAGAAAAGTATGCCTATTCCACAATGTAAAATAAAATGTGCAGTTTAAATTTTGACAAATTAGGTACATTGGTAAATTGCCAATCCTAGCTTTACAAATACTAACTTCAAGGAGCGCTGGTTGCATGTTGTATACAGCTATATAATAATAATATATAATAATATCGATACAAAGCCGCACATAGTCTTCCCATGAGGCCAATGGAGCCGGCGATGCGTCAGCTCTGTGCGCGCCTCCACAACGTGCTTTTATTTCACTTTATTATCAGCCTTTACACTACCGCGTGTGGAATAAAATTTGGTTATTTCTCTGTTTGCTTTGAATTAACAGTAGACCTCTAATGGCACGTACAGCACAGAGCCAGATAATGCACGGACATTATTAATGCTAGAATGTGTTGTATTAAAACACGAGGCTTAGACAGACAGATGATCTAGTAGGTCACGTAATGATTCGTTCATCAATTATGGATTAACAGGGCCGAGGTGGGTCGCAGGCAGCGCGCACCAAGGCCACAAAAGGCCTCTGACCCGCGGTTGATTTCTCTGTTTTTTTATGCTAACGCTAAATAATACGGACATTAGCAAAATCTGTGCCATAATAGATATAGCTAATGTCCGTATTATTTAGTGTGAGCATTCGTTGGGGTAACAAATGCAATAAGAAGACAGTTGAATATTTCTATTAGTTGAGCAACTACCCATTCATTTGAAATAACGTTTCCTTATAAGGCCTCAAATGTATGTGTTTTGCATATTTCCCGTTAATTCAATGTGTATTTTATAAAGCTAACTTGTCTATCAAACTGCAGTGTTAGCGTTAGCAGTCAACTCTTCGCTGTAATGATAAATTATCTTACCTTTAAAGTGTTTGGTGGAGGCTGGTTGGATTGCGCTTCCGAAGAGCCTGCGACAACGTTCCTGTCTTTTGGCAGCGACAACCACCGCAGCATTCTGGATTGCACCTTTACCGCTCCTTCTCTATGGACAGGGTGCCAACTGTGCAGGTGCCTGCATGCACCTGCTACGTGGTCAAACTGGGTCCGCGCAGAGAACGGAGAAGCGGGAAAATGTTTGCCCATGATTCCGCGTCAAATAAGAGCAGAACAGAATTCCCTGAGCGGGAGCTCTCTCTCTTTAATATGGAACATTAGCACTCGCTTACATAAATATATTGCCTCGTTTACAAATAAAAATTGGTTAAAGGCTTTCCGTCCCGGGACCGTCCCGGGGAGAATTTCATCTCGTCCCGTGCATTTTTTTTCCCGTCCCCGGGACGACGGGACTATGTTAGTCTCGAGCCCTGTTTGGAATGTTCACAAACTTGAATAAATCTTATAACACTTTATACTTCTCATGACGTGAAGTGAAAGCACAGCTGCCGACATATTGGCCAGGTGTGTGCAGCTCCAGTGCGGGCTCTAACCCTCTTCTTACGTTGCAGGTGATAAAGTGCGTGGCTCCGGCAGGCTTTGCTCCACGCCTCTGCCCACTCACCAGAGGACGCCCGGTCCGATTTGTGTGTTCAGTGTGGCAGCATGTTGACCCAGGGAATTAAAGGCCAACAAATCAATAGCACCAGAGCTTTGGAGAGGAGCGAAGGGGAGAAGGGAGGCTGATGGGAGTGGAGGGGAGAGCAGAGGCTGATGGAAGCGGAGTTATCCTTTGCTCCATCCAGGCTAATAGCAGGAACTTTTTCTACAAATTGGCACAAACCCTTTCTTTCTAAGTGTCCTTTGTTTCTAACACTTCACGCCATAATAAATCTTCACACATGATGTCATGAGCAGAACAGTTTTCTGCCTTTTACTGTCTGACTGGATACCCATCCCCAGATGTCAACGTCCTTCACTGAAGAATTTTACCTTTGGTATGTTTAATGTTTAATTCATAAGAATACAAACTATGTTCAAAAACCACACGATCTGGTGATTGGGTCTGCAGAGTTTTGTTTCGACAGAGAAGCCTCTCAAGGCTCCAGCCCATGGGACACTTTCAAAGGCATTTTGTATTTTTCCATTGATACTCAAACTTTGTAACAGTAGATTACAATTATAGGTTTACATTTTCACACCTGCTTCACTGCTGCAATCATTGTATTTCCGCAGTTCCCTTAAAAGTTTTCTAATTCTAGTTAAGTTAAAATTTTTATTTGCATAACATAAAACATGTGCAAAGAAGGACTTTGCCGAAGTTGAAGTAAAATACCCCAAATTAAGCTTGAAAAAAAAAAATATTTACGGTAGGTTTTAATAACTGTTGCAGGTCAATTTGACCAGAGTATAGCACAAACGCATCAATGCCTCATTCCAATTAAATTGACAAATATAACTGCAGCTCAACCGCACCAGAATTGGCGTGCACAACACGCACAGGTTTACATGAGTCTTTATTATTTAAAGTAGATGGATTAAAGTACATGGAGGGTTTAGTGTTCACTTGTGATCATTTTCATAGTCCATTTATCATGTTTATTCAAATAGCCTCTACCAATTAAAAAATATCACATTCTTAAATATCCTCTTAAACATCATTTACTTTAGTATTTTTCAGGTCCAAAATTACCAAAAATCTGATCCAGCACTAACCTTAGTGAGCAGCAGCACCCTTCTCTGCAGCCTGCGCACCAGTGAGTCCTGGGCCTCCCTCCTTCTTTGCTCCTCCACACTGCTGGCCCTATGTTGAGACGCCTCACATTTCAGCTCCGACTGGCTCCGCTCCATGCCCCGAACACTGTGCGACCACAGAAGGAGAGGGGGAACATTCAGGATGGATATACAAGAATAAGTTGTTGTTGTTGATTAGTCCACCTACTAATGTCCATGTTTAAAAACTGACTTTTATTTACTACTATCAGTAGTGGTAGGATTCTCAATATTCTTTATTATTCTTGTGAAATATACAGTCCCTTCAGCACCATGTTTCTTTGTTTGGATGCAAAAGCAAAAACATCGCTGGAAATACAGTGCATCTGAATATGCCACAGATAGTCATGACTTGTATTGTAGCAGTACAGCCCAAGTCATGTGTTTGTTTGAACACTTGACCAAATCATTCTCACACATATGCATAAGATGGACGATGATAAATGAAGAGAAGCAAAATATGGTACCTTTAACTACCAATTTAAACCGTGTGGAGAAGAAGCAAAGCAATTCTATCCAAGATGGCGCCGTGCTAGGGCGCCGCTGCAAGAGCTCCGTTGTGCACCGTGATTGTTTTTATCCTTTCACTGTTTTTATCCTTTCACAAAACACTTGCCACTGTGGCATATGATCGACAGACTCTCCTGGACATACGGGACTTGGCTTGTGAGTCAGTGTCGCCTGCTCTTAGGTGTGAGGGCTTTGACGAGTGTCCAGCTCGTGGAGAGCGGCGTGCGGACCGCGACAGAGACTGGGAACAGGGCGATGAGGCCGGGCGCCTCCCCCGTGTTCACCGCCGTGCGGAGCCGGGTGTCTCTCGCCGACGAAGGAAGCGCAGACACCGGGGAAAGCGTGGCGGGCTTCTCGTGCGGAGTCGCGCCCCCAGGGTCCCACTGCCACCTATCTACCTTGCAAACGTTCAGTCTCTCCCGAACAAGTCGGATGATCTCCTGAGCCGAATCCAGTACCAGCGCGAGGCTCGGGACTGCGCAGTGTACTGCCTCAGCGAGACGTGGCTGCATCCGAATATCCCGGACTCAGCTGTTCAGCCGCCGGGATTCGCCATTTTCCGCTCGGACAGAGAGAAGGAGAGCACGGGGAAATCGAAAGGTGGAGGTGTGTGTTTTTTAATTAACCAGCGCTGGTGCACTGACAGTTTTATTGTTAACAAAACATGCTCTGCTAACCTGGAGTGTCTGGTTTTGAGATGCCGCCCGTTCTATCTTCCCCGAGAATTCTCAGTGATTTTTTTATGTGCTGTATATATTCATCCTCGGGCTGACTGTACAGCTGCACTGAATGACTTAAGTGACATTTTGCATAAACATGAAGCTGCTCACCCCAATGCTGTGATTATAGTTGGTGGTGATTTTAACAAATGTAACTTAAAGTCTGTATTACCGAACTTTTATCAGCATGTGAGTCAGCCTACCAGGGGAGCGCACATCCTGGATCACTGCTATAGTAACGTGAAGGCAGCTTACAGGTCCAGTCTCAGACCTGCTTTTGGGAAGTCTGACCACTCTGCTGTTCTCCTTCTTCCTTCTTATACACAGAGGAACAAACAGCACAAACCTACTTCCCGCACTGTGCAGTGCTGGTCTGAGGAGGCTAACATGAAGCTGCAGGGCTGCTTTGATGCCACAGACTGGTCTGTTTTTAACTCTGAGAATGTTGATGAATTCTGTGAGGCTGTGACAGGATACATACAATTTTGCATTGACTGTTGTGTCCCCTATAAAGTTATCAAAGAACACTCCGGCCAAAAACCTTGGATGAACACTGATGTCAAACTTAGAATTAATGAGCGGACACTGGCGTTTCAATCCGGTGACGAGGGTGCTTACAAGCTGTCCTGCTACGCTGTGGAACGCTCTATAAAAGCTGCTAAGCGTTCCTATGGGGACAGGTTAGAGGGCTTCTTTGGGGAAGAGGACCCCCGACGCATGTGGAAGGGGATCAGTCTTATCACGTCCTGGAAACCAAGTGCAGGGAAAATTGCTGCTGGCCAAACTCTGCCAAACGAGCTCAACGACTTTTACTGCCGCTTTGAATCTGCTGATCCCTTGCCTTTTGTCTTCCCCGAATGTCAGGGTGCCTTCACAGTGACTCAGGATGAAGTACGGCGGGTCTTGTCCAGGACCACAGCTCGGAAAGCCGCAGGCCCGGACTGCATTCCTCCCCGCGTCCTGAAACTGTGCTCCGAGCAACTTGCCCCTGTTTTAACGGACATCTTTAACTTGTCACTCAGGAGCTGTACGGTGCCGGTGAGCTTTAAAAGGTCCACCATTATTCCAGTTCCTAAGAAGTCTCCAGTGACATGTCTCAATGACTACCGCCCTGTGGCCCTCACGTCTGTTCTTATGAAGACTTTTGAGCGGCTTGTGCTGGACTTCATTAAGAGCCAGATCCCTGTGAGTGTTGACCCGCTCCAGTTTGCTTACAGACAGAACAGGAGTGTGGAGGATGCCATCTCCTTTGCTCTGAACTCTGTCTACACTCATTTGGACACTAGTAAATCTGTCGCGAGAATGCTGTTCATTGATTATAGCTCTGCTTTTAATTGTCTTGTCCCAAGCATATTGGTTGAAAAACTAATGTCCCTTGGTCTGAATGTTGCCATGTGTAAATGGATTTTTAGCTTTTTAACTGACAGATCTCAGAGAGTAAAAATCAATGACTGTTTTTCTGATGTTGTTTCTGTGAGCACTGGTTCTCCTCAGGGATGTATTTTGAGTCCTCTGCTTTTTACTTTGTACACTCACGATTGTGTGTCCTCCTCTGACTCAAATCTGATCATCAAATATGCTGATGACACCACCATCATCGGTCTCATCAGTGACAATGATGATTCCTCTTATAGAGCAGAGATCGAACATGTTTTTCAGTGGAGTAAAGTAAACAATCTCCAGCTGAACACTGCAAAAACATGTGAACTTGTCTTTGACTTCAGTCGTAGCAGTTCTCACACTCCTGTTGTTATTGACAACTCCCAGGTGCAGATCGTAGAGGAGTGCAAGTTCCTGGGTTTAACTCTGTCTAACGACCTGTAAATGGGTTAAAAACACTGACCGGGTTGTTAAGAAAGCTCGTCAGCGGCTCTTCTTTTTGCGGAAACTTAGAGAATTTACCACTAACTCTAAGATTCTGCTTAACTTTTATCGCTGCACCATTGAGAGTTTACTTGTTGGTTCTGTGTCGGTGTGGTTTGGAAACATCACAGATAAAGAAAAGAGAGCTTTAAACAAGGTGCTCCGCTCTGCAAAGAGGACCGTGGGCTGTGAGCTTCCTGTTCTGGAGGTTCTTTACAAATCCAGACTTTTAAACAAAGCTCTTAAAATCATCGGTGACTCTTCTGGCCACCCTGGGAAAGCCATGTTCCAGCTTCTTCCCTCTGGCAGAAGATATCGGTCACTGAGATGCAAGACATCTCGCTATGCTAACAGCTTCTTTCCACAGGCTGTTAGGTGCCTAAACAGAGCACTTTAATTCCTGCTTTTACCCCTTGTATTGTTTTGTTGATCGGTGCCACAGTGTCAGCTGTTTTTATTATTATTTTATATTCAGTGTATGTGTATTTATATTACAATGTATCGTGCTTTTATTCTGTCGGTGCACACAGAGTACCTCTTTTTGCAAATGTATTCCAATGTAGTTTTTATACTGCACATGGCCAATAAATAATCTGAATCTGAATCTGAATCTGAACACGCTGGGAGGGTTCAGTCCTGCACCGGAAATGTCCACGTTCAGGTCCTGGATCATTAGCCTGTCTGTCCGGAGGAGCGGGATCGCTTTCTCATATGGGTCTCCCTCCCTGTGGGTTTCCCTGTTCTCCACACAAGTTTCTCACTTTTTTCCACTGGGTTTTGTAAGAGTTGTTCCTTGTCGATGCAGGTGGGTCTTGTTGGGACAGTTACGTGGTCATCACAGAAAGGATTGTTGATGAATCAGGACACTTTAGCCTTTTACAAACATGTATGGACATTTTCTTCTGTTGTGTGCTTTATATTCTTCATGTGTTTTTAACGGTTGCGTTCTCTGAACCTGTGTTGGTGATTTCAATGGTTTTGTTAAGTCCTCTTGAGATTATTCTGTTGTGACCTAGGGCTACAAGAATAAATTGTTATTGTATTGTATTGTAAAACAAGATTTAGACAAGAGCTCTACATTATTCTTATTTGTTTGTTGTAGGTATGTTATTTGGCAAAACATATATAATTTATAAACAACAATATTTATTAAGTTTATTATCCCAAACATAATTTCATAACTTTTTGCTGTTAATGATAGCACCAAGCATTCCCTGTGGTCTACATCACTGTACTACCCAGGCCTGCGTGCTTAGCCTCATTGGTCTGGACAGGATCTGGCTTTCACATGCAGGTATGATCTCTTTGTCTTTTTCAAAATTACCTGTGAAACTGAAATTAAAGACCATGGAGAACTTTTTGACATTGACAACACAACTGTTCATGACTTTTTGAATAAAGAACTAAATTTAAGCACTTATTATTATTATTTTTATTATTAACTGTACCTGTCTTTGTTCTGTGGAGATAGCCCACACTGGTCTCTGGTGACAGTATCGGGTTGGATCAAATGGTTCAGGTGACAGTATAGGGCGGCTTGTTTGTTATGTGGGTCAAATATGAGATCAAACAACATAAAACCTAAATACCTGTATCCCCATGTAAACCTTTATTCAGCCTATAGGGGGCGCTAATGGGCCAATGTCATTGTTCACACTGTCATGTGACCTAGGCCCAGGAGTTGAACAACCGAGTCAAGTTTAGTGCAAATCAGAGTTTGTGAATGTGCTTCTGTTTGAACATACAATCTGTGAGTGTGTCCATACAGTGTCCTGTGGATAACATGGGAACTTCACACCTCTCTATGAAAATCACCACACTTTGGGAGTTTGTCACTCTCAGACCGTTTGACGAATTCAAACTCTATATGCAACTATTGATGGTCCATGTGTGGAGACCATGTGGAGCGATTTTCAGCCATATTAGTGAAATGGCCGCGGCTGGTTTGATGTTTGAGCGAGGTGTACTTTTCAGAGATTTAACGAT